TCCCCCCACCCACCCGCAACAAAAATACGAGAGATAATCGTGTTGAAGAGTTGTGTTTGGGTGGCATTGTAGTCAAATAATGCAACATTTTCAAAATATTTTCTATTATAGCATTCATGCCTACTGATTAATTTATTTGGCACTCAAATGCTCTTTTGCATTATTATTTACATGCTGCCCTCAGCTCGTTCGTGCGTAACCTTGATAAGAGTTTGCAGAAAACCGTTTCAGGTCACCCGTATTTCCCCGCTAGCTCGTAGATCAATATTTAGCTGCCCCTAAATAACTTGGCCTGGTTTTCTGCTACACTAGAAACAGTGAACGCTGTGCGATAAATGGGAAAGCAGTGGAATAGATAATAACGATTGAGTTCAGTGATGTAATAGAGCGTGAAGGCAGCATTCTCTCTGATCGCCGAATCTTTGTTCCGCTGGCAGTTTGTATGATGCTTGTCTGGTCGTTTCCCACTTATCCGCCCTTCCCGCGCATCCTCCACAGCCTGTTGTGGTTTGTCGTTGTCGTTCGTTCTCCGTTCGTTGTTGATCGACGTTTTCCCCCCTCCGAATATCTAACGACATGTGGTCCGGCCCGCACACAATTGATGCTCGGCGAAAACCGAGGAACCTCCCAAGTGTGACCCCCCATTACCTTATGCTCGGGTAAGCAAATTACCCGGGGATCCTCCTTGCAGTGGTGGTCGTTTCTTTTCGCTGTCGGCGTTGTTGCTTCCTATTCCGCCTCTCCGCTTTCTCTCCACTATTCCTTCCACTCCTTCAATCCCACCGAATCTGTTTTTTCTCGACGGGGCGAGCAACATTCAAAAGGCCGAATTCCACGCCCTTTCCTCGCCTTTCCGATGGGCGTGTGGCGCGGTTCTGCGCCGCGTTCTCTGACGTAAGTATGAAAGGCCAGGGAGGCCACAGACGCCTCGCTCTGTGCGTCGGCAATTGCGCGGCCAGCGTGCGACCCATCCTCCTCTTAACCCTTGCACCCTGTAGGCGCGTGCCCTCCCCTTTAGACGTTTTAGGTTCAGGGAGAAGAGGATCTTACCCGGTATTTATTCTCGCAGAGCACTGCGTACATTGCGTGTGACAATCATGTTTGTTTATTATTCTAAATTGTGTTGTTTAATTTGAACTAACAAAAAAGCTAAGAAATATGTGAATGTATTTGTCTTAAAATACTAATTATTAAAACATTTAATAAACATTTATTTAAAGTCGACAGTAGAATGTTGAATTATGTAATGCCAGTTGTTTGCAGTGGCTGCGGTGTTGTGAGGGTAGTTTTCATTCTTTTCGAGTGCGCCTCAGTGTTTGAAGGGCGCATTCAATGCGTGTGCCAAGTGTCGGCAATGCCTTAAGGCAAGGGGCGTCACGATAGCGGCGCCGCCCACCACTGGACTCTCGCGGCGCATGCGCGTCGCGTCAGGTAAACGCAGAAGAGGACAGCCGAGGACTGCTCGCGCTGCCTTGCGCGGTCGCTGAGGTAACGCCGATGGGAAATAACGTCACCAAATGCGGCCGTTGACTCAACGCTTCCAGGACCCAATTGGCTGCGTCGAGACTGCCGCGCGCTACCGGAATAGCTTCATGGACGGATCCGACGCGGCCGCCGCGACGACGTTGACGTGATTCCGTGAGGATGTTGAGTAGGTGCTAAAGAGCCGGGGACGGTGTCGTGCCCTGAAGGAATTCTGGTAGCGTGTGAGCAAGAGAGTCGAAAAAAAAATATTGTGATAGAGCGTGGTGGCGAGTGCTTTTCGTGACGTCATTTCCTTGGCGTTGTGGCTCGTGTGAGTTACGTGTGTCGGTGTTGGTGAGCATTCCTCTGTCTGCCCTCTTCCCGCTAGTAGAGTAGCGAGTAGTTTCTTCATACGGAAAGCGATGCCGTGGTATCACTTATCTCAATATGTGTCTCGTTCTTGAAATGAAATGATAAAACAAAATTAATAGATTTGCATTGTACAATATAAAGCCCATTTCATGCATAAATTTTGATGAGCGAGAATATGAGCCATATATAAAAAATACAACTAAGAGTATTTAAACTGTATTATTCTTGCTCGTCATGACTCTTAACTGGATATTATTCTGGAAAGTTCTGATGTTATTTTAACATCACTGCTTGAGAAATCCTTTCAAGTAATACACGAAACTAAGTTTGACTTAATTATCGCTTTCCTTACCTCTCTTGACGTTGTGATTTATTGTATTTATATCCTGATTTCTACATGTATCTTCTGTCCTTTCTTTCGGAGTCGCTCAATGCTCTTAGATGTGAGTATATGTAGTAAGGTACGGTTCAGTATGCCATAGAAGCAAATATATTGTATCATATAGTTAACATTTGATTTTGTATTATAAATATTTAATTTCCGAAAAGCAAATAATATACTCACTGAGTTAATCTCGTTAATATGTCCTCCTGTTGTTCACTAATTATTGTTCATAAGACTATGTGTGCCTGACCAAAATATTAGTTGTACTGCTTTAAGGCAAACAGATAGTATAGCAAATTTGAAATAACTTATTTCAAAGTTATATTGAATATTCAGACTGTTATCCGAGCGTTTTGAAAGCAAAACGAAGAGACGCTATGAGATCCTACGTATTCTAGGAATTCATTTTCAAACTCGTAATTATTTTTCGGCGAATAAATTCCCATCACGAGTGTCCTCTGTGCTTGGACCGCGCGGCGCGTGTGTTACCCTTTCGAGTCCGTAGTTTGAATGCCAGTACTAATTTAAACTTCCCTTTTCACAGTCGAATTAAATTTGATACACACGCCCTTGTAATGAAAGTGTCATTTTATCCGCGGCATTTTTTACCTCTTCTGTTATTAAAACTAGTCGTTAGATACGAATTTGCGTAGACGCATGGAAATCTACATGGTACGCGGTTAGACGGTAGTGACATTTACGAAAACGGATTTGTGACGTCTTTACTAGCGCTCGGATATTACAGTTTAATATTCCTAGGTTGGGCGGGTAGGTAATGTAGGTGGAACATTGAAGTTTTGTTTTATATGAGAAATAAATCATCACGTCAATAAAAAGCCATCTGTCCTTTCCGCTGTCAACAACTCTGCGCTGCGCTCGCCCGTGTCACAATCAATTTAAACTTTAATTTCTCCTTTTAATTTGTCGGGGACAATATCTCGGGCAGCGCGCGGCTGTCAGAAATGTTGATGGGGTGTGTACCTGTGGAAATGATTTGGACGGAATGCTTGTATCCGAAGCGAGGAGTTATTTTAATATGTCCTGTTCTCGTGTGTCGTTGGCAGCATTGAGCTTCTCCGTTATGTGATTGTCCACCACATAATGTAATTGTAATCCGAGTGTTTCCACAGTTTTTTAATGGTGTTTATTTTTAATTTGGGAATTGTTTACAGTTAAACGAATGAATTCACTCGAATCTTTTAAAAGGGCATGTATTAATGTTTGGTTCAGGTTAGGTGATAAGTAAACTGTGCTGTCGTTTTATTATTATTATTATTATTATTATTATTATTATTATTGCAAAAAATACATTTAGGTGTAAACGCAAATGAATGATAAGTATATCATTTCGATTGACAGTATATGTATTAATTTTTATGAGTCTTCTTTTCAAAGTTTACATGGATTTCAGAATACATAATTTCTATCCATTGCTAAATTGTTCGTCAGACTAGAGTATTTTTCTTAGTTTTTTAAAATTATTTTTCAATTACCGCCTACACACGGTGCTAAGTAAGATCTTACAATTAAAACACTGTTGCAACACTCATAAAATGAAAAGGATCTCGAACTGCTCAAGTTCGCATGCCATTGACTTCATAGTTTTCTCATCATAATCTGCGCCTCTGCAGGTTGTTGAAGATTGGAAGTACGTGTCTATGGTGCTGGATCGGTTCTTCTTATGGGTGTTCACGCTCGCCTGTATTGCGGGCACTTGCGGGATCATCTTTCAGGTGAGCTGAAGAGATTGCGCGCGGCATCTCTGCACTCGGTGACGTCACAGAGAAGGAGGGCAGCTACACTGAATGCCGTCTCAAAAAAGTGTCTTCCTAGTTTTTCGATAACCAGACTCAGCCAAAAACGATACATCCTTTACATTTTGTGTAAGAAAGCACAGAGAAAACCAACGAAAGAAATGACTAACGTTTATGCAACACATTACTGGTTGTGTGTTCAACAATCCCAAACCCAAGATTGCATTGGGGTTGGGATTGTAATCGATGTTTTACAGAGATAATTGTTTGGCTTGGGATTGTAATCGAACAGAGATAGTACGCGTGGATGGCAGAACTGCGCATGCGCAGACTCTCTTTTTTCTGTATCTCGCTCACATTGTATCGGTTGTCGAGTACACAGATATTTTGGGCGAACTCTACACAAATTAACTATTTCCTTCCTCCTATCTCCTCGGGCGGTTCTGCAACAAGCAATTCTTAAAGACTTCCTCGCAAATATTCCGCACATGTATATTTATTTTTTAGAACCTGAATTATTGTACTACTTTTCTTCTGAGATTATGTTTCATTTCAAAGAAGAAAAAAAGTAGTTTATCTAAAAGTGAACAAGCCAATTAAGTATGGGCTACTTCAAGAACGTAGACTGCTTCCTTTAAAAATGTACAGAATTACATTTTTTTAATTAATATTTTATTTACTAATAATTAGTTGTGTAATATATCTTTTAATCAAATCTCTAAAAAATTGTAAAAATTGAGCAGATAGAAATAAAAATAAAAAAAATCCAAAGTGATATAGTATTTATAATATTTCGAAAATCATTTTTTATTTCTAAATTTATTTAAACGAAACAGTCTCGCCACGTAAAATAAGGCAAATTCAATTCAATTCAATTCAAAAAACATTGACTTTTTAAAATGTAATATTTAGTACGTTGGCACACTCAAACTATAGCTTGGAGAAAAACTAGTTCTAATAAAAAGATTAATAGAAACATAATTTATATTTTTAATTTCCACACTTTATAAATTCATTTATTGAAAATGAAAGTAATGTATAGGCATATAACATATAGCTTTCTCCTAAGTAAATTTATTTTTGAATAAAAATAAGTGTCACGTCATTTTAAAATGTTCTTTTGCCATTACAATATATTCTGAAATCACTCCTGCTATTGTGCTTCATAATTCAGCTCTTCAACTTATATATAATTATTCCAAATTAATTTTAGAATTATGTGTTAGCTGAATTGCCGCATCACTTGTTCTTACTGTAGATGACATTAATAGCGTTTTCCATTCATTGTACTGAAACACACCCAAGTTCAGAGCAAAAAAGTCTTTGCTCCGCAGTGTTGCCACATACGCGTGAAGGCAGTCACGAATGAAACGGATTTCGGAAACAAAGTCAATGCGTGTGCGCTGCATCGAAATTTGCCAGTGATCCATATTGTACACAATATTTTGAACTGAAAGGTTTCTGCAGAATTGTTTGGTTATTGAAAACCATAAAAATATTAACACGAGCGTTTCCGCTGGCGTACATATGCGCGCGCCATTTCTTGACATATACATTTGAATAATTTTGTAAGGGAAACAGTCACAATTTTTATTTAACCTCAAAATGGCCCGGTGCAATGGACTGCAGCTCCTCAGTGCAGGTTAGGGCGCCCCCAGTGCACCCTGGTTCCTTCTCATTGTGCGAATAGAACATACGCGTCTTTGCACTGGTGCGCCATAGTGGTCAAATTGAACACGAAAGCTGCCCTGAGTGCATATTGAGAGCGCACCAGTGCGGGGAATGGAAAACGCTATACATATCGATACAAGGTGAAGCTTTGTTTTTGTAGTCACTTGGATATAAATTCATACATTCACTTGGATATATCACCTATTTATTTATTTATTTATTTATTTATTTATTTATTTATTTATTTATTTATTTATTTATTTATTTAGTATGACGTACTATGGGGAGAAGGGTATTGTGTGCACATTTTCTTAATCCTGGGATGTCTACCCTAAGGTATATCCAAGTGGAATTCTGACTACAGAAGGACATGAGCGTTTCTGACACAAATTGACAAAAAATATTCTCTCCGGTGTAGTAAAACCTATTTGCAAAGGCAAAACAGCTATAGATTTGGGCTGTTATCTCTCATCGTGCTCTTCATGAAGGAATCAAATTCCTGCTTCGAGAACGATGATTTGAATGACCACATTTCCCTCTGAACTTTACCAATATCCGCGGAGCGCCATATTCTTCTGTATGTGGAAATCCTCGAGTCAAAGAGCGCTCCGCGTGTCGTTGCAGGCGCCGTCGCTGTACGACACCCGGAAGCCCATCGACCAGGAGCTGAGCGACATCTCGCTGCGCAAGAACAACTTCCTGCTGCCTGTGCCAATGGGCCATTCCCGGAGCGCATGGCTGCGACACCTGAACGCCTCCGCCTCATCGGACATGGTATTAGCCTTATCGAACCGACGCGGCGCCGCCGATTCTTCGGCTTCTCGTCGCATCGCATTCATCGACTCATCGGCTCATCGTCGCATCGCTTCATCGACTCATCGGCTCATCGTCGCATCGCTTCATCGACTCACTCGACTCATCGACCTCATCGATCTCATCGAACTCACTCGATTCATTCACTCATCGACTCATCGTTTCATCGAATTCATCGATCATTCGATTCATTAGACTCATCGTCTCATCGTGCCAACAAGCGCTTCACTTGATAGCTGCCGTTCGCGTATTTGTTGCTTATGCGGACGCATCTTGGACACAAATTTTCTCATTTTTTTTCGAATGTTGAAGATGCGTCTCTGCTTCATGTTACTTCAGTTTTCGCGGGATACCTGTTTTGATGTTCTACTGATGTCGCTACATTTTAACGTAAAGAGAGTTATTGAGTGAATTAAATTAATTAGAATGTTATAGGAGATATCGTGCGTGTTAATTGAAAGTTATATCGATGTTGATTCTTTATACTTGAATTGTCTATTGATGTGTTTATTCAGTGTTAAACATTATTAAGAATTAGGAGGGTTTATTGTGAATAATAGTTACATTTTTCATTTGTATTTGCTCATAGAACAAAACGAAAAATATTTCTCTTAAACATTCACTCTTTAGCATTCATGTTAGGTTTAAATAACAAAAGCTGGTATGAAAATCGATCATAAATGAAATTCTAATATTAATTTTCAAATTATTAGACGTGGATATATACATATATTTTATCAATACGTTAAGTCTATGAAAATGTGCCATCAACGAGAAGAAAATACAATTTAATAGAATTGAATAAAGCACACGCCAGCTATCAAGTGATCGTCTTACAGAAATTTGTAGCCTTAAGATGTACCACGAATGTTTTTATAAGTGCCGAACGCACAAGAAACTAGATCATAATATGTCTAGTCTGTTACACTAATATCCTAGGTTTGATCACTCAAGGTGATGTATGGCGTTCCTCTCCATCCAAACCCATTGCAAGAGAGTACTTATAATTCTGTAATTCATGGGATCAGCAATTGAACAAATCCCTTTTCAATTCATCCAACGGATTGAACATGTCTAATAAGCAATGGGTTTGCCTAGTGATAGGCTTTCCTTACGAAGGATAGAATGAACGTAGTTTCACACGTCGGGATTAATAAAAGTCGATCAGCGATGTTTTCGTTCATTCAAATGGTTAATAAGTACGTTATGTTGTTAACAAAATAAAGTAGATATGTTGTATTATGATTGTAATATTAAGAAGAAGCGTACGTAAATGTCTAAGCAAGATCTCACTTTTCCACGCGCGCACGGCGGCCGCCAGCGTACCAGACCGGCCGCGCACCCTTAGCTTGGAGCCACGCTGGTTATTCCCGGGCATTGTTCCTATGGATGTAAGTTGTAGGAAAGTTGTAGGGTAATGCAGTTAACAGAAGCCCCTCCCCCCACCCCTCTACCGACGCAGGTCGCACGACGTGGAGCGGGGTGGGATGGGGAGCAGGGGGCGAGGAGGTCAGACGGAGGAGAGGAGACCTTCGAGTTGGTGCGTCCCTTAGCATTGCTAATGAGGGCCAGATGGAATTAGCATGGACCCTGCAGAGGGGAGGGGGAGGGGGAGGGGGACGCGAGGAAGGTGGCGGTGGCGACGGTGATGAGGGCGCTGTGGAGGCTGCTGCCGGTCGTGTGGCCATCGCTGCCTCTACCTCAACGACAATCGCACCTCTTCCCACACCGGCGCTGCAATGCCCGTTGTTCGCCTACCCCTCTCTCAGCACACCCAACCACTCTCTGCGACAGCCCTTCCCTGCACTCCGGCCCGGCCCTGACCGAGCGAAGTCCCGCCCACGAACCGGCTTCGGCTCCTTTTCGCGGGGCGAGGCGGTCGGGGCGAGTTTTCCCCTCGGGAGATTTCATTTCATGAATTCTAGAACATCTGTATAAAAAGTAGACGTTAAAAAAAAATTTCAAAATATTTTGCTCAATGAAGTTTCTGTGCCGGAATTTTAAATTGTAATTCTAGTTTTCTTCCTTGTGAAGAGAACTAGTTTTGCTGTCTTCCCAATTTCCGAGAAATAATAGAGTTAATGAAGTCTGGGAAAGGCTAATGAAACAAGTTCATATTGAGAAATCATCCCCGATTCATAAAGTCTATCCCTGTAACACGATAAAAAATTCTTTTTCACATGCAAATAAACTTGAATACAAAATTTTTATGAAAGCTTTAAAAAAACGTTGTGAAGTTCCGGAACGGAATCTCCTATTCGAGAAAAGGACCAAATATTCTTCCATTTTCGTCTTTCTCTTGTAAAGAGACGGGTCCTTTTCTCGGCCTTCATATTTAATACATTCCGACGTATAGCGATTGTCGATAAATCCTCAGAGACGTATTTACGTTTAAATGACTGTTGAATTCTAATAAAATTCTGGAGTCACCAAACTAAAGTCTGAAAAAATCTCTACTCAACTATGGAATATTTAAGAAAATTGTGGCAAAATGCATAGTAATAAATATAAGAGATTTTAAAATCATTACACTAAATGAAGATAAATAATATATTCAATTTTTTCTTGTAAATGGCAATCTGAAACATATCGCACCTCCAATAGAAAAGTGGCACAAGTGCGAATTTCTAATTTCTCAGAAATTGAAATTTTAAGTTTCGTAGTTCTGTAATACTCGTTATAGATTGTACTAAATATTGCCTTGCCAGCGGACAGTAATGTGAACTAATTCAAATAAACTCAGAATAGTAGCAGTGCCTCTTGGTAACCTGCTTATGAGCTTTTAGCTGAAAAATGACGAATTTCGCACTTGTGACACTTTCTATTGGAGGTGCGAATGTGAAGCTATATACAGTTCTCATGCGCGCGTGGTCGAAATTCGCAACATCTTTTTGTTTGTCCAACACTCCATTTCACACATTCCATTTAAGGATTCTCATAACATAAACATTTAAAATGAGATAAACCGAGAATTATTTTTAAAAATAAATTACTCATGAAATTCTTGAAAATTGTTAGTTTGCTTCAGTTATTGAAATGACTGAAACGGTTTGGTGACTTCTGATCTAATAAAATAATTCGTTTCTTTGTCAGTAAATTGTAGTATATATGTGCTTGCCTTATTATGAATCTGTCATCATTGTAATCTCCTAGCGCTCCAGGATAGAGTAGCTAGACGATGAGGGGATTTGCATTCGGAATTCACGGAGAAACGAGAAGAAAGAAAAAAATGCGTTTCAAAGTGTCTATCCTCTGCTAGAAACAGCGCGTGGAAAGGCTTCGAAGTTTTGTCGAAACACGCTGGAGTGTGTTTTGAAATGTTAATGATTCTGCGTGCTTGTTAGTTTGTTGAGAAGTTGCGGAGCGCTCGCGATTTTGTGTACCTTCTCGCTACTCCTCCACACGGCCTGCGCCGGCCTCTGTGTACTCTCTCCTGGAGCTCGCTTTGGATCCGCACATGAAAGTGTTGCGTTGATAGCCTAGCTTCCTTCTCAGGCAACAACGAGCTGGAAGTACAGCAGCGCCCTGCAGACGCACCAATACTTTTCCTGCGCAAGTTCTCTGTACTGTCTTAAAAAATAATTGCGCGCGCTCTTTAAGATTTTATACAAAGATAATATGCTTAAAATCTAAGTAAAAGTAAAGTAAAAGTAAAATTATCTTCCTTATAATATGTGATAATTATTGAGCATCCTGTTGTTAATTATAACGTAAGAACTCTTGAAACTGCTAAAACTATTGCTAATAAGGTGGCTCCTATGCTTACTCTGCTAATGTGTTCATAATTGATTGTTAAATGTTACTTTCCTGTGGTGGAGCAACATAAATTGTTGAATTCGTTTCAAATGTATTAAAGTTTACATACTGTTTTTTGCTAATGTTGTAAGTTACCTCTGTAAATACATTGATTCATTTTGTACGCTTATCAATGCAGCATTATATTGAAATACGGAAATAATTATGTAGTTACAGACTTATATGATGAAGCAGATATCGTATTATACTATTAACAAATACTGACAAATAACCTAACTCCAATAAATGTTAATTTCCTCAATTTTAACACATATGTATATACAATGATTACTAAATACGATATAAATAATGAAATTACGGACACTATGAACGTTTCTTTTTTCGGTGTAATACTTATTTTTCAACCTTTTGTCCTAATGAAAATCCCAAAACAACCCCTGAATACCCTTCCAAATCTATCAATAATCTTCACCTGTTCGTATTCACTCTTCGTCGTCGCGTCGCCAATTTTGGAATGTAAATAATTCAGATGTATAGTTCAAAGTACCTTAGACTAAGTTTAATATTCGAAATGATGTTTGTCTGATAATATTATACGCGTATTTGCAGAGCTTACTCTCCATTTTCAGTCTTTCAATGGCATTTCACTAAAAATTGCTTTTTAATTCACAATTAAAAAAGGAAATTATATTTAATAAACGTATTTTAAAAAAGCAATTATTTTCACAATAAGTGAAGAATTACATTTTTGCACCTTTAAGTTTCTTGAGAAGATAGGTGAAATATATATCAAACTAATTTCAAATGAATTTAATACTTTATCTTAACATGAACAAATTACACATTTCTTTTATTGAAAATAAGTTATGAAATTAATTTTATTGAAATTAATTAGAGATACGAAGTACGGGTAAATGAAATTAAATTGTCTACGCGTAAATGAAACTCCAATGTGTGCCGCAGGGTGGTGACCTGAAAGTGAACCCTAGTACGGGGCGCGACCACCAGAGGGTGGGGGCGGCACTGCTGGTCCGCAGATGATGAAACGTAATGTGACCTAGAAGAAGTAACATCACTTGACGGCAACCCAAAAACGGCGACCCAATAATTTCGCTTTGTGTTTTTAGAATATTATTTACGAATAGGATACGTAAATGAAGTATTTCTAAAATACAGTTTCATTAATTATATTTAATTATTTAACTGCTTAATTAACTAATTGGTTATTTTAAATATTGTAGTGGCAGGAAGCCACTACACGACACCGCGACATCAGTCAGATTGATCGGGGAATATCAGTTAGAGGAAGATGAAGAGTTAGAAGAAGTAATTGCTACAAGCGTTATCCACTTTTTGGTATTAGGGACCAACGCCGTGATTTTTCTTGTGGACAAATGCACTTTTCATAACTTGCGGATTTACATAACTTTCTCTTTACT